CTGATCCTTCTCAAATTACCGTTAGCTAAAGGATACTTCTTAAGTATAACGATGTTTTCGATACAAATGTCTTCTTCTGTAGTGAATTAAAAAATAAAAAACACCCGATATCACTTTCGAAATTTTTTGATATTTTATTGCTATAAGTATGTATTTTAACATACATATATAAACTTTAACTGCTTCTGAGTGCTTTTACGGGTTTTATATACATTTTTTTTCTATCAACATCATTAAATTTTTGGGATATTTTTCATAAGCGGCTGCAGTTTAAGAAAAAGTAATACATTTGATATGAATAATACTAGTGGATACATAGTAGGAAAAATTAAAATTTACACTTTTAGATGATACTGGGTGGATACATGGAACTTCGTAATAGTTAACAATTATGTTGAAATTTTTTTAGATGATAATTTTTTAAACAAAATATATAAAGTTCTATTAGGAAGCCATTACAAGTACAAATAAATACTTTTTATTTATTATGAGCATCAGATTAGATCAAACGAAAAGGATATCCTTGAAGGTTGAAAAGGAATCCTCAATAAGGATATATAGGAGGTGGCGAACAAAAAATTTAATGTGCATAATAACTTATCTATCTCTTTATAAGTGATTTGATAAAAAAATTTATTTTTTTTTTTTTTGCTTTTTTCGATTATGTATTTGAAAGAGGACATTTTTGAGGTAGGCGTATCCTCGGTCTGAATTGAAATTTCTTATTAATTTAATTATATATAAGACCTCTAGAGAAGAGGGGCAATATGAATGAATCGCTCAATGACGACATGATAATAATCTTTCAATGGGGTCGTGTTAACAGAGATGGGTGGTGTAAATGTTACTGTATCGGGCATGAAAATATAGTCCGATGTCCGCTGGACTAAAAAAAAATAATTCTAGGGTCTCCGTTTTTGAAACGTTGTAAGACACACTTTACTCCATCTGATCTCCTTACTATTTACAACACCTATAACCGACCGAAAATGGAATACAACTTCCATATTTGGTCCCGAGCTTCTAAGTCTATTTTGGAGTTACTCGACCGCGTACAGAAGAAGGCGAAGGTACATATCGGTGACAGTTGGGTATCCAACTTTATTGATTCACTGGAGCACGTTGGGTGTATTTAAATGTTCTATCGATACTATAACGGATTGTGTACCTCGCAAATTAGAGAACTCGTTCCAATCAAGAACACACCCATTTATTGCCGATTGGCCAGTGGACCGCACAACACATTACATTTTTTAACCGCAATGTTCGTATGTGGAACAATCCGAATAATGGAGCTCCATTTTGAAAAATAAAGTTTAACCACCTTATTCACAAACAACATTTTTATTTTATAAAAGGTTTATAAAACAAAATTTCCATACAATATCTAATTTATAAACAGTTTATAAAATATTTTTTTTTTGTGAATAAGGGGGTAAGTATTAAACCCATTCGTTCCCATTTTACTCGCTTGGAAAGAAAAACAACCGATTTTATAATGATATATTGCCGAGTTTTTTTTTTGTAAAATTTGATTTTTATAATATTACTTTAGAATCCTAAGAATTATAACATTATAAAAACAATATTTTCTTAACAAACTATTGTTTTAATTTAATTTCGATTTTTATAAATATTTTTGTTTGAGTTTATAACAAATTGGTTTGATTTTTACACAGAAGGAAATTATTTTCACGAACTCTTTATTGAAATAAATTTAATTATCAATAAACATTTTTACTGATTCAATAAATGTTTTTTTTGAGTTTTATTTTTATGTCTACAATAAAACAAGTTTTGGAATGTACTAAAATGAATTGAATTTTTAATTTTTTCGCATCTTTCATTGTAATTTGATGCCAAAATTTTTAATTTTAAGTTGAATGGATTAGAATTTTATTGAAAAATAAGGGTCTCATTTTATAAAATTCAAATTTTTGAAAATTTCCCAATATTCTTCATACAAATTTTTTACAGATTTTTTAAACAGATCAGCTTATTAGTGGTGTAGGGTATAATAAATTCTCTAAGAATTCGCTAACATAAGCATAAATAATACAATTCCTGCTATTTCAGTAAATTGATGTACTACTCGTCTTTGAAACACACTTTACTGTAAAGAAATGTTTTAGAATTAACGGATACTACCCCAGCAAAAACTCGGTAATGGGTTGTACTTCCATAACCACTTACTTTTCAATGACTACTACTTACCGTCTGCATTACTTAGACGTACTCTAGTAATGACTTTCTTTCGGCTTTGTCATTTTGTTTGCACATATTATTTAATGGCGTGTTAAGAATAGTGTTTTACAAAAAAGAAAACAAAATTAGATTTGTATGTGAAAACCATTATTTCACGCGCAATAAAATAGCTAAGCAGTGGTAACAAACCGAATTATTAAAAAATAAAACAAATTACTAAACAACTTCTTTGTAAGAGAAATTGCAAGTACTTCTATAACTCCCTATTTGTAAGCGAGCGTAGAAGTACTTGCCTCCCATGACATCACCGTGTTAAAATAATGACTTAAAATGTTAAAGAAGAAGTAGTGAAAAGAGTTTTTATTAGCTTTTTTAATCATTACTTTTCAATTTAAGTTTTTCCTGTTACACTTATGATATAAAACATCTAAGAAGCTTGTGGCGGAACAGCTATTGGCAACAATCGCGATCTCGAAACATAAAGGTTGATCTTAATCACTGCCAAACAGGAACTCACATAGTCTTAAAAAGTAATAAGGAGTCTAATCTGAAAAATATCTTAAAAGCTTAGACCCAACTAAGAAAACAGAATATAATCTTTGGAAAGCTGCCACAAAAATGCTATACGACATTGCATATGAGTCATCCATACGCCTCCATATAGAAAAATAATATAAAAATTGCAGAACAAAGTGAGAAATATCTTGGTATCCACCATTTTTTGGTAGATCCATAACATAGATCCACCAAAACATAGTTACAAAAAGAACTGGCTAATTGGACCACGGTCTGCTCTAGACTTGGAGTACAAAGTGCTTTTGAACAAAACAGTTATAAAACTGATATGGCTATACGGCTATTATTGCAAAGGGAGCAGTCAGTACTATTAAGAACAATAACATGTACCCCGTGGTACATTCGTAATAGTAATATTCACATGGATCTCAACGTCCCCATAATTCATTGGGGATCAAACTCTCAGTTTAACCTACCTGTCGAAACTAATTACTCAAATCGCCTTGCATGGCAGTTGGTGTTATTTGAGGGTCACAGACGACTGAGAAGAATGGAAACATTGAATTTTGCCAGATAATCAAATTATCGAGAACTTGTGTTGAAATTGCAGTGGCAGTAATTTAATACCTTAATACTTATTGTAAATTTTTATAGAAGCAAGATTCAATAAAGAATAGATAAAATGAAAAATATATACATCTTAATTTTTCTTTCAGGATAGGTTAGGTTTGACAGGTGGCTGCATCGAACATCCGAAATTACAGCTTTACTTGGGTCAAATAATGATCTCTTTGTAATTTGACCTGTAAGAAGAAAAGAAGAATTGGGATAGACGGAAGAGAGACAGTGAATGGGTAGGGGATAAGAAAATTTTAAAACATCCCTAGAAATAATGATATGGAGGCATAAGGTGAGAAAACATTACGCCGAGCTTAGTGTGAAATTGTAGTTCACCACCATTTTGACAAGTTCAGTAATGCAGTAAGTCGTTCAAGTTGAACATTCGATAGATCTGATAGATCATTAAAAACAGTTAACCCTAATGTTCAAAAACGGAACGTTTCCAAAGGTGGACAGTGACAGAGAAGATGGACTACCGTCTCCTCTTCATCTTCATTTTGACAACTTTTACAGAAGTCGTTGTACGGTAAACCAATGCGCCTTGCATGGTTGCCAAATTTGCAGTGGCCAGTTATGACCGATACCATATTACCTAACTGAGGTCTTTGAAGACTAAGAAGATAGGCGGTTCTATGTGGATCCATGTTGAGCCACGACGTTCGAGAGATCGAGCAAGTATGCTTCCCCGACCAGAGAATTTGAGCCATGGTAAATGCAATATTCAATAATATGCTTTTTTATGACAGACAGTGGAACCCCACAGAACTGGTCCACGTCCATATCTCCTAGCATGGCTCCAGCTTTTGCCAAGGTATCAGCAATATTATTGCCATATATAGTCCCGCGTCTTTGACACATATAAGGAGACGTACAGCATTCATGGACAAGTTGTGATGTTGAGATAACTCCAATCAGTGACTTCATAGCAGCTTGACTATCAGTATAAATTCTGATATCCGATTGTACCTCAGTCAATTTGACGCCCCCTTGATCGCTGCTATTTCAGCTTGGAGGATACTGCAGTCGTCATTGAGTCTAAATGAGATTTTCGTCCCAAACTCTTCAATGAAGACAGTATGTCGGAATCAACGACATGGAAGTATTGCGATATAAGATCCCTTAAACAAGTGTTCCATTTGCCAGTCATTTCTTAAGGATGTTTCAGTGGTTTCTGGTAAAATATTTTTCATTATTTTTCCAAATATTGCCAAAATATATGGAAAGGAATTGATGGGGGATCATCAAGAATTGAATTGAAATTGAAATTTCATGATAGTTGTGTCTGTGAAGAATACAAAAATAATGTTGTCAAATGTCCGTTTGTTAAAAAGCCAAACGCCGTAAAGTAAATTTTATAAAAAAAATCACATTATTGTTGTTTTAAAGTACTATAAAATATTTATATTTGTCATTTGTTTATTGAAGGTACTTTAATGCGATTTTAGTGGAGTTTAACTTAAAAATGGTTAATAATACTTTGCAAAAACATAAAAATTAAACAAATATTGCTTTGATGACTTTTTCCAAACTATAAAATGACCACAAAAAAGCAAATACTTGCTGATTGATATACATATATAGATCATTTTTTATCGATATAAAAACTTTAGGAATTTTACGATATACTATACAAATATATTTTTTATGTTTATTTTCAGTTAATAATGTTTAACCTCAAGAATATCTTAATATGAGGACTCAAAATTATGCTTATACATTCCAATGCATTTCAATAGTATTGAAGTTACTTGTGCTGTCATGGTCCATCGTCCAGACTTCTTGCAGTGCTCATAATGACTGGAACTCAAATAGTGTGGAAAAAGTTAAAGAAAACATATTTAAATTTACTAGAAATGCATACAACGTAACCATTCCAGAAAATAGCATTGGTAAAACCTATGCGAAACCAAAAGTATACGACTATAGAATTGGCATAGAAATCCAAAAAAGATGTGCAGTCAATTTTCGAATTGTTTCTGGAGATAAAGATAAACTCTTTAAAACTGAGGAGAGAATAATCGGAAATTTTGCATTTTTGGCTATTAGAACTAGAACCAGCAACGTGGTATTAAACAGAGAAAAAAATGAAGAATACGTTTTGAATATTAAAGCATTTATATCATGTCCAGAAATTAAACCTAAATTGACTTATGAGGATGAATGCACAATGTATCTTCAAGTACTTGATCGTAATGATTTAAGTCCTCTATTTTATCCCACTGAATACTCTGCTACTATATCAGAGGATCTTCCAATACATAGCAGTATTTTAACTGTAACTGCCGAAGACGCAGACCTTGGATTAAATGGAGAAATTTATTATAGTTTCTTGGATGATAGCCCTTACTTTGTTATTCACCCTTCCACTGGTGTTATATCAAATGTAAGACTCTTGGAACATTTAGGAGATCAACAACTCGAAATTGTTGTTCTAGCTGTTGACCGAGGATCAGCTCTTAACCATTACAATCATCAGTCTAGTAAAGCTAAAGTTCATATTAGTATACAAAAGGTAAATATACTGATAATTATAAATATTAATATTTACACTGCATGATTTTCAGAAATAAGTTTATCTCTGTTCTGAATAATAATTTAAATAAAAAATATGTTAGTTTCACTAAAATCAGCATCTACATAACTACTTTTGAATCTCATCATTGGCATGCTTCTAGGTACATCAGAACTTAGAATCAAGCAGAGCTGTAAATGAATTAATTTCGTGAATTATTTGTGAATTGAATTAGCAAATTTTGAATTAATTCTTTTTACATAAAAAATGAATTGAATGAAATTTCAGTCAATTCATATGAAATTGTTAAAAATAAATTGCAAGTCATTTCCAACCAAAAGAATTTGGTAAATGAATTGCAATTCGTTTAAAATTCAAATCAATTTGTCAAATGAATTGCAATTTGTTTCTAATTCAAATGAATTTGTCAAATGAATTGAATTGATTTTGAATTAATTCAAATGAATTAGAAAAAGGAATTGGCAATTCATTTTCAACTCATTTGAATTGATTGAGATATGAATTGGTTTTGTTAGTAAATCTACACTGTAGATTTACTTACAAATCTACAGAAAGTTATTATTGAAGGTGAATGATGAATTCTAATTAAATATACTTGATTATACCCTACACCACTTTAGTGGTGGATGAAATTTGGCACGCACGTTTTATTTGACCCAAGGACGAAGCCTATTGAAAATGGTTAAAATCGGTCCATTATTTCACCTAGCCCCCATAGAACAGAACCCCCCGAAAAGGGCTTCTGAGCTCATAATTATGTTAAATATACAGATATATCGATAAAATACGGCACAACTAAGTTTTATAGAAGTCTTGATGACCCTGCCAAATTTCATTTATTTATTTATTTTATTTTTTTTTAAATAAATATTACCAAAAGGTTTGTCATTGGGTAGTGGTGGGTCACAAAATTTCAGGAATTATTAATTGCCTCTTGAATATTACATGTGTGTTCAAAATAAAAATTAGTTCTTCTCGAAGGAATATTCTCCGATCACCATGTTTTCTTTGATTAGGTGCGGATCCATGACAGAGCTTTTCAATTTTCGTACAGAATTATTTCATTTTGGTTTGAGAAAATTCCATTTTTTAATTCCCCTAGATCTGCATTTGAATTTTATTGATTGCTCACTTTTGATTTCATTCATTTGAATTGCAATTCATTGTTCTAATTCATTTGACTTAATTCAAAATCAATTCAAATGAATTGGAAATTTGACAAATTCATTTGAATTGGAAACGAATTGCATGGATGTCGAGTTTTTGAACATCATTTGAGGGGTTCTAGTTCATATATTTTCCTAGATGTAAAAATTTCCGTATTTAATTCATATGGGAGGTACCATGTCCATATTTCTAGTCCGATTATTTTCACCTAAATTGTTCACATGTATTTTAGTGTTGGCAGTGGAAAATTTGAGTTTTCTAGCTTTAATGGTTTCCTAGATATGATTATGTTAGGTTGATAGGAGGATGTATACTACATAAAAACCGAAGAAATACACCTAGGGCACTACCGGACCTGTTGTGCGCTCCTTTTCATGAAAAAAAAAATTGTTTCTGCAGATACACAAATTTTATTTAATTCATATGTGAGGAACCACGCTCCCGTAATTCGCCAACTAATTAGACAAATGTTTACACGAAATTATTCTAGCTCCAATAGCATCCCCGATATACGATTTTTTATTTAATTCATATTGGAGGGACCATGCCCCTGTAATCCGCCAATTTATTAAGCAAAATTTGAACATTATAACTCCAATTTCCGAGATATAAAAAAACATACATCTAAAGGGTGATACAAAATTAAAACTTCTTTTGCGTAAAATTAAACTTATTAATGTTTTAAATAATGTATTCATCACTTTTCTTCTTCTTAAGAGACAAATTAAATTTAGCTGGAATGGCATGTAGATTGGTGTATTTGATTTTAGATTTATAAAGGCCGGTCTTTTTTTGCGGATAATATCCAATTTTTTGGAGGCTACAAGAAACCGCCTGATGTTTTGGAGGTTGTTATAAAATATATACTTGATAATCTGCTAGATTGCATGATGCACAACTATTTTTTTTATAAATGCAGACATGGCCAAGGCCATTATGTTTCGCACAGCTCGTAAAGATTGCACGTGTCCAAAAATTTAATTATGTAACAAACCCATTACCTATGTTCACTCTATTAAGTTTCTTGGTGTGGTAACGGATCAGTTCATAAACTTTAATGAACAGTTCGATATTGTTTTATCTCAGTTAACTTTTGGTCTTAAAAGGCTCTACCTCTCTAGTTTATATATACCTATGAGAATTAGGATTACACTAGCCTACACTTTGTAATTGTCTCATGTAAAATACGACACAGAGGTATACTCTGGTGTCAATTCGCTGTTTATTGTATCAGATATCATGAGCACATAAATCTTGCTATTAACAATTTTCTATATTGTTCTTTCAAACAGTAACTATAGCTACGTAATTTAATATGTATAAAACTACAAAATTATCAAATATTTTCAAGATCTACAACAAATCCACAAGTTATTATACCACTTATAACGTGTTCTGTCTTTGGACGGTAATTAAATGTGAGATCATGAGACTGGAATGTTTTACCAAGTGATTTAAAAGTGTTCTATTTTTCGTGCAAATTATGTAAAAATGCGTCTCCTCGATAATTTCTCGCAATATAGTCTTCAACCAATCTTATAAATACATTTCATTTCGAATAAATTTAACTTTATTCATTGATTTTATTAAAGTAATTCTTAGATTGTTATAATTTAAGAATGATAAACTAAAGATTACGCCTTGCTAATAACTTACCGTTAGATGACGTAGTTGTTCCCTTTAGAAGGTTTCCAAATATGTTTCATGTATAGAAATTACAATTTCTTGAAAAAATCTAATGCGTATTATAATGGTTGGTAACCCTGCAATTTAATTTACTTTGGCAGTTTAGAAAAAATATAACGAATTTCGGCTTAAATTTACTCAAATATAATATTAAAAAATATAAAACGATAAGGAAGTGTAGTGAAGTGCGCTAAAAAGGATCCAGGACATAGAAAAACGAAACCAAAATTTGGAGGCAAAACATAAACATGTAATGAAAAGTGGACAAATGTAATCAAAATTAATATTCAAAAAAACGAGTGAGAAATTGTGAAAAAAATTTACATTATTTTTATTTTTTGTTTTTAATTTTTAGTATTTAAAATATTGTTAAATATTTTTCTTAAAAGAAATTGCAATAAATAAATATTTTTTTTAAAATAATGGTTACTATCCATTAATTTTTAGATAAAAATAATAAATTGTCCCACTGTTATATTTATAGCAGAAAATTATTAACCAATAGGAACAAAGATTGTGTGACGTCAGAGCTCCTATATGCGCAGAAAGTTTTAATTGTGTTCGCCTGACGACGTAATCTATAGCAGAGTATGAAAACAAACGAAACATTTCGTAAACATTTCCATAATGTACAAAACTTTTCAAAATTTTTAAATAATTTTGTACATGAGCAAAACTAAAACAAATACTTTTCAAGTGAGAGAGAGCGAAAACAAAACAATTGGATTTTCGCTCATCTACTTGCTTTTGTTTGCCTTTACAATCGTACATTTGAGAACAAAACAAATGCAGAAACGTATTTTATGAAAGAATCATAAAGTGTGTGTATCCACACACACACACACTTCATTTAATTTGTACGGTTTTTATTTTGTTTTTGTTTTTATTACTACTGCATTCCACATAGGCACAGAGATACAAGCCGAGACGGCTCAAATAGGCGGCGGCTGGCCGCCGGTAATATTTTGCAAGCCGCGCCGCCGCCGACTTCTTTCGGCTCAAAAGCTAAGTCGGCTTAAACGTAGCCGCTGATAAAGATTAGAATCACACATGTATTTCAGAACATAATTTCACCAAACTGAACGGAGTTGCCACTATTTTAAATTCTTATGGCAAATTGAAAAGAGTTGCAACACAATATTGTGCTAATATTAAAATAGTGAAAACTACTATAAATGTCCATTTTCTGCAGAAAAAGACTTATATAGAGACAGGTTTCTATGTAACAGACTATTATACAAAGATTTTTCAATATAATAAACCTTATAAGGTCAATTTCAAAAGCAAAAACAATACAAAACCAAATGATAAAATCGATTTTGTTGTTTTGGTTTTGTTTCTGTTTTACCCACTGCAAAGATAAAAACAAAACAATTGCAAACGTTTCGTTTAGTTTATTTTCGTACTCTATCTATAGTTTTTCATTCTTGGTTTTAATTTATACGTTAAATGCGACAATTGTTAAAAAAATATTGTGTCATCATAAGCACACGAAATTTTTTAGCAATTTGTCGCATTGTTGTTGTCTTGTGCAGGTCTTTAATGTAAAATACCCTTTAGATACAAAAACAATACGTTTTGGCCTTGAAGGCTTTTTATTCTTATGTAGAAAGATAAAATAATCTTTTCTTCGTGAGAAGGGTATCTGTCAGTCTGTCTTATGTTTGTTAAAATCAATTTTCTGAAGACCTCAGATATCTTCAATAATTCTGTCAGGCATGTTTTCGAGAATTATCTTATTTAAAGTTAGCAAAATCAGTCCATACAAATCAGTAAAATCCGCCCATAAATAGAAACTGTCCTGAGCACTGCTCATTAATTACTCTTGCACAATCAAAAAAAATGCTCACATTGAAAAAACGTAACTGTTAAATTTTTTATGCAATTCAGTAAGATCAGTGTTGACAAAAGGTATTCAGCAACCTTTTTTTTTCTACCCACAGAAAGGAATATAGTATTTTTATATGAAAAACATTAGTTATTAAAGAACGAAGTAAGGCAGTGGTTTTTGTTTAAAACAGTGGAATGAAAATTGGAACATCAGTGGTTCAAGTCTTGATCAAGTCATCTTATTTTTTAAGAAGTAAAATTAATTGTCGCAAATTTTTATTTTTATTTTATTCATA